CTTAGTAATTTCTTAATGATGACACCGAGATATCAGTTAGGATGCTCTTTGAAGAGAAACAGGAAGACGAAGAGATGGTCGACGACTTCGTCAAGTGCTTCCGAAATAAGGCGATGAATTGTCGAGATCCAGTCACAGAGGACTTCATCCTCCAAACGTATCATAACAACCTGTCCATTGATATCTTAGAAGTTATGGGACTAGCACCATCCAAGACTTGGAGAGAGTTGAAGGTGCACACTGAGCAGGCCGAATGCTTCCTTTGAAGGAAGAATGCCCGAGAGAAGCCAACCAACGGCTAACCCTCTAAAATCAAACTTGCCACCCGTGGAAAGGGTAAGGCACCTGCACCGGTTATTGATGTTAATCAGATGTCATGGCAACAATCCCGAAGACAGCAAAAGACTTTGGATCCGAGACTCCAAAAAAAGTACTCATTCAAGGACGAAGACATTCCGGCCATTTTTGAATGCCTCCTTAAAAACAACAAGATCAAGCTGCCACCTTTCACAAATCAGGAGGAAGCTAATAATACTTCATATCTAAAGTATTGTGCATACCACAGGAGGATCTTTTATCCCACCAAGGCTTGTTTCGCCCTCAAGAATAGCATCCAAATCTTGGTTGAACCTGGCATCATATTGCTAAATTAATCTGTATCAAGACTCTGAAGAGTATACGAGTATAAACTACTTCTCAATCATCCAATATGTGTATGAGGTTAAACTGCTCACTGCATACTCTAATAGGTATATGAGTCTAACCTGTTTCCTACATTTGACGAAAAGTTCCTAGAGAATCTTATATTCTTAAAGATAACCCGAACATGCGACTGAGGACAATGTACTCCTCATTGGACCTAATTTTGCAAAAAAACTGGGGGTGGATAATTCATGTAATGGGAAGTTCTGGGAAGAATGTTACATATAATATTCTTAGGGATAACCTACTCATTACAAATAAAGTGATAAACACTAAACTCCCGTTGTTAAAGTCCTGACATAGCACTGGAAATTTTAATTCGAACGGTCTATTGCGATTGCCAAATCCCCTTCGTGTCATGATCTCGTCATTTGACATCAAAACCCCCCCACTGAGTGATTCGTACAAGTCAACACTTTCACTGTGATTTATACTTTTACTCAAGGATACGACAACTTAATTGATCTCGTAACTCAAGATCTCGTCATTGATGCAAATGAATCAGCTTTAACAGTAGACCTGTAGCCCTAACATTTGGGATCGCCACGCTCCAACGCCTTAAGAGCATAAACTATGTAGCCGCACTGATCAACGTGTTGTGACAAAAGTCAATGTCGGTCAATGCATTGCGATAAAAAGTCAATATCGATCAATGCAAAACCCTAAGCTCAACGCTGGTCAACGCATAACCCTAGGTCAATGTCGGTCAACGCGTAGCCCTAGGTCAACGTCGATCAATGCGTGGTAATGACGGTCAACGCATGGCCTCCGATCAACTCCAAAGTTCAGATATGAATTTCCTATAAAGATAGTTAGTTTAAAGTCAACTCAATGACATGAGCTAAAACCAACTCATCAGTTTTGATTCAAGATATCGACAACGGCCAAACGATAAATGCAGCGTCGAGAAATTTTAGCTATTTGTCAAAATATTGAATAGACCAAAAATAAAAGAAGTCAAGAATCAAAGCCAACTACAAGTCCTTTTTTACCGACTGAAGGTTGGATCGTTTACATCCAAAGCATTTCAGGCTCTTCTATAAAAGAAACGAGACTGAAACACTTTGGAGGGGGTATCTGTAGGCGTTAAAAATTACCCACGGATTCCCGCATGCGGCTCGAGACAGAGAGAAGATGATGAACATTATTATCCAAATCAAGAAGAATTATCTAATGTTATAGAGAACCTAACAAATGTATGAAACGAGTTGATAAAGTATACAAATCAACGTGATGGTACAATAACGAAGAAGCGACTCGACCTGGGGTTACGTTTCACCCACAAAGGAGTAAGCACCACTCGTGTCTTGCTCATCCCATAGATATCTCACCCATGGGAGGTTATAGAGATCTTCATGATCTTTCTAACGTTCCTTGGATCACTTCCTTCTGAGGTCGAGCGATGGAGTTAGAGCCAAAATATCCGAGATAGTACAGACTGTTTCGTACCTGCGATATACTAATTATGTCTAGCATATTTTAGCCATGATACGATTCAAATCTGAAGAATCTCAAAAGATAAAAGTTGTAGGCATTTTTTCATCTTTCTAACACATTTTGAATCATGTCATTCCGAGACCGGACGAGAAAACTATGACAAAAACAGTATTGGGCATCTCGAGACAGTCTCGGGAGTCCCGGCCCCGAAAACGCTGTCCGCAGCCCAAGATTCTGTCCGCAGCCTCCCAAACTGATTTGAGGTTATCTTTAAACATGGTTAAGTGGTTTATAACTAAGGATGAGAGAAAATTGTTTATTTTTTCTCCAAAAACAGGGCTTCTGAAGCCTATAAATACAGCCCTAGGGCCTTCATTTGCGTAGATCTGGAATGCTCGAGCTTTGGTGAAGTCCAATCGGTTAGAAGACTGAAGGAGCACAAATTTTTAGAGAGGAGAAGGAGATCTTGGTGACTCATTCAGCATAAAGAGGAATAGCTCAAGAGATCTGCATCCAGTTCACCCGCTTCCCTCGAAATCGTACCTAGCTGCGATTCTAGAGAAGAGTGGGTATCTCGCTTTGCCGAGATATTCACTTAAGTTTCTTGTTTCCTTTGCAAGGCAACGAAACCATTCTTTTGAACTGATCACTCGGTGGTCCTCGAATTAACCCCGGTACAGGCAAAGATCCCGCGCAAGCAGAAAACCGATAAATGATCTCTGCATGTGTTCTCAGGATATCTTTCCATTTAATTTCATTGTAAAGAAAGTCTTATAAAAAGACTTAATTTTTCTTTTATTTTAAATCGTTGTAATGCCTGAAGTTGTAATGGATTCGAAAGTAATGAAACTGATTTCCGACGAGAACAACCCTATAAGCCTTACTTCTAGATGCATATCCCAAAAATATACCAACATTAATTTTTGAGTCAAACTTATCATGGTGGTCTTTAGTGTTTAAGATAAAACATTTATAACCAAAAATATGAAAATATCCAATATATAAGGTTTTGCCAAAAAAGAGTTCATAAGGAGTTTTCTTAAATTTATGTCTAATCAAAACACAATTTAAAACATGGCAAGCCGTATTCACAGCTTTCGCCCAAAAATACTTAGGCAAAATAAAAACATTTATCATTGTACATGTCATCTCTTGTATGGTATGATTTTTTTGTTCAATAACACTATTTTATTGTGGTGTTCTAAGAGCAGAAAACATATGAGTTATACCACGATGAGCACAAAATTCATCAAAAAATTTATATTAAAATTCACCACCATGATCACTTCTAATTTTAACAATTTTCAAAATTTTTTATTTTGAATTCTTTTTACAAAATTAGAAAATTCTTCAAAACATTCATCTTTATTTGCAAAAGATTACCCATGTAAAACGTGAAAAATCATCAATGATAACAAATACATAATGTTTACCTTCTAGAGAGGCAACACGCATAGGACCAAAGAGATCAAGATGTAATAATTGCAAGGGTTTGGAAGTATATACCTCATTAATAGATTTGAAGGTGTTCTTGGGTTGTTTACCTTTAGCACAATCTTCACAAATAGAATACTTAACAAAGGTTATATTTGGTAGCCCTTTTACTAGATTTTTCTTGGATAGCTTAGATATTAACTCCATGTTAGCATGTCCAAGCCTCTTGTGCCAAATCCAAGGATCTTTATCCACCGCGGTAAGGCACTTTACATCTTGATCTATTAGTTCATTCATCTCAAAAATATAAACATAAGATCTTCTTAAAGCAACAAAAATAATTTTATCATTCATACTAACAATACATTTATCCAACTTAAAAGAAATATCAAAACCTTTATCACTTAATTGACTAATACTAAGAAGATTATGATTTAGTCCTTTAACAAAATAAACATCCTCAATTATGGAAGAATGTATCTTACCAATATTACCAATACCTACATTTTACCTTTCCCACCGTCACCAAAGGAGACATTGCCTCCTTAAATCCTTGATAACTTATAAATAATTCCTTATTTCCCATCATGTGATGTGAGCAACCACTATCAAGGTACCATAACTCCTTACGTCTTGGGCGAGACGTTCCCTACATGTAAAAAAGTTGTAGAACCTTTAAGTACTCAAACTTTGGGTCCTTGAATATTAGTATTTTTGGTACCCTTAGGTACCCACATTAACTTATAAGAATCAATGTTATTTTTAATCCTTCAATGAGTAGAAATATGACCATATTTCATGCAATATATGCACAAAAACTTTTTCTTATATGTAGGAGCATAAGATTTATGATACCGTCTTCTATTAACATGATGATGACTAGAGTAAGCATGATTAGATTTAATTCTATTATTTTCAATTTCTAGCCTCTCAATTGTAGATCTTAGTAGTTTGTTTTTAATGTCTAGATCTCCTATCATTTCATCTTTGAGACCAAGAGAGGATTATAGTTGCTCAAACTTAGAATCACAAGAAACATGTAATTTTTTGAAAGAAGAGTATTCTTTCGCCACTCTTTTAAATTCAATGTTTAAGTCTTCTAATGTGGTTTCTAGTTCACATTGCATAAAAAAATTATTCACTTTCGGTTTCGAATTATACCTCATCTTCATGAGCTATGAAACAAACGTTTGGGTCATGAAGATCAATTTGGCGCTCTCAACATTGCTATCCGAATCGCTTGGTTCCGATTCATCCCATCCAGCGTACATAGTCTTCTTCTTCTTGTACTTCAAGTACTTCTCCTTAAGCTTGGGACAATCCTTAGCTAAGTGTCCCGGTTCATTGCATTCGAAGCATTTACCAATATGAGAAGGAAATTTGTTGTTAGATTGATTCTTAAAATTTTTATTCATTTTGATTAATCTTTATATCCTTCTAGAGAGGTGTGCCACTTCTCTAGAGACATCGACTTTACTATCCGAGGAGGATGAGTCATCAATTGCTCCTTTGAGCGCAATAGTCTTTAATTTTTGAGATGGCTCCTCGGTTACTTCCTCCTTCTCCTTGATCTTTTTCTCATGGACCTTAGGCTTGCCAATGAGACCATCAAGAGTAAGTGTTGTAAGATCATGAGCTTCCTTGGTGATCGTAACTTTAGGCTCCCACACCGGCGTCAAAGAACAAAGAATTTTGTAGTTCATCTCTTGGTTCGTCAACTTCTTATCAAGGCTATGCAATTCATTTATGATGTTAGTAAACTGAGAAAACATAGCATCAATAGATTCATTTGGAAGTATTTTAAACAATTCATAATCATGCATGATGTTGGCCTTTTTGTTTTGATGAAGTTATAACAAACAACTTACAACTAATATTATTTGTCTAGTGTTTGTGTTTTTTATTTATTATAGACAAACAATGAGTTGGAGGATGGATGGACAAGAGCTTTTATGATCATATCCTTTGGAGGATGGAAGGAATAGTGGTTGAAACCTTATAATTCAAGTTGAACATCCAAGTTCAAGCTTCATCTATGTTACCAAGATAGAGCTTCGTTGAAAATCACAAGCTTGGGTATATTTAGTATAGGTTTATATTATGGATTATGGGTATCCTTGTCATAGCGAGGGGGATTTCCTCCCTAATGACGCCTCTAAAATCACATGATTGAGCGATATTGATGGATGCATCCGCTCTGAGTTGAAATTTGATCTACATATTCTAAAACTCTAACACAACCAAGTTTTGGGCGGAATCCGGTCGCTCGTTATGACCCTCCATCGAGCCATGTGAAAAGCTTCTATTCCATTCAAAACCTATTTTTAACGTGTATAAAAATTGATACGGAGTGGATGAACGGTCAAACGACGACGGCGTTCATCACCTCCAACTGGTGTGTTTTGTGGGCTCAGAATATGTATGATTCAAATTCAACGGGAGCGCTATCATCCACGATGTCGGCTCGAATCGCATGTGACTTTAGAGCGCGTCATAGGGAAGGAAATCCCCCCTCCTATTGAACAAGGATACCATTAATCTCATATACGTGTATATATATATATATATATATATATATATATATATATATATATATATATATATATATATATATATATATATATATATATATATATATATATATATATATATATACACACACACACACATTTTAGTATTTGATTTTCATGTTTATAAAAATATGAAATTACAAATTTTATATTTATTGTTTTGTTTTGGCTTAGAATTATAGATATGAAACAATAGTTGTTTTCATATATACTTTCACATGTTTCATATTCTATTATTTTTGGAAAAACAAATGTGTTTTGTATTATATATACATTTTTGTGAAAATAATATATTATTCTTTATAAAATTAACATTCACTATATACATATTTTATTAAGTCTATAAAATTATTTTGTAAAGTTTCAAAATAATGTTTAGCTAAAATATCAAAAACATGTGTTTTGTTTTTTTATGTTTTGGACTAGTTTTGAAAAATGATAAGATTTTACTATTAGGAAGCGTAATTCTAAAAATTCCTTTTGTAACATGTTTATTATCATGTTTATAAGTATTTTTCCAAAGTTTTACATTTTTTTATTTTATTTGCTATTTTTAAAAGAGATTTAAAAATCAGATTTACTATTTAAAATAGGCTGATATCACGTTATCTGTCGACTGATCAGTCGATTGAAGAAAATATCTGGAATAGCTAAAAGTTTTTGTTTTTATTCTGGTCGACTGACTAGTCGACTAATAAGGTCATCAGTTGACTGATAAGGTCATTAGTCGATTGATAAGCTGGAAAATACCTACAATGATCAGCTCATCAGTAGACTAAAAAAACCCGTCAGTCGATTGATGCTGCAACGGCTAGTTTTTTTAGCTTTTATCTATTTTTATTTTTTTGTCTTTTTGTTGGGTTTCCTTGATCTTTGGGGTTTCCTATATATACCCCCTCATACCCAGCTCTGTTTTTATCTAAGAAAATTGTTTATACAAGTTTACAAAGGTTTAAATGGGTTTAAGTTTGTTTTAGTATTTGTTTGGTTTGTAAAGAAGTTGTCACAAATGGAGGAGATCATCTTTATTGTTTGAACTTCAATCTCCATCTCTCCATCTTGTTTTTCAGAGAAGTTTTTCTTAAACTCAATCCTAGCTATTTTATACGTTCCATCTTGTTTTTCAGAGAAGTTTTTCTTAAACTCAATCCTAGCTATTTTATACGTTTGAGCATAATTTCATAAGCTAAGTTTTTCTTAAACTCAATCCTAGCTATTTTATACGTTTGAGCATAATTTCATAAGCTAGACTTACATTAAGTTTATATTTGTTTTTACTTCTCGTTGTTCACACATAACCTATTGAGCTTATAATATTTTATACATAGTATAATTTGGGGTTGTGGGTTTGTGACATTGAGAGTGAGCTTAATTGAGTTCTCATATTGTTAGAGAACAAATCATTTGTTGTTAGCGAGCTAAATTGTGAGTTACACTTTGTAATACACTTGTACACCGAGAGGAGTGTATGGTGAGAGACGTGGTCGTCACAAAATGAGTGGGGTAGGTGGTAATGCCTAGAGGTAGGATGTAATTCCTAACACTTAAGGGAGACACGGACTAAAGACCAACACTTAGAGGGTGTAGAGTGTGATTGCAAGAATGTTGATTATAAAGTTTTCAATGAGCTAGAAAACTGAGTGTGATGTGTAAACATTTTCGGGTGAGCGTTGAAAACCTGGTGTGATAGTGGATTTCTTCTCGGGAGTGGGGAGCGGAGACCTAGGACGAAAGGTCCGAACTTCGTGATCACTTACTTGTGTTCGACTTTGTCATTGGCACATTTATTTTTATGTTTATCTTTTATCATCATTGTCTATAGTGCATTGTTTATATTGCCTTATCACACTTGTATCTTTTATTTAACTTGTTTTACCCTTGTGTATATTACATATCCTTGCATATTAGGTATTTCATATCATACTTGCTAGGATGTATTTGTTAATAGTTTTTTAATCTGTATTAAATCGGATTAGATTAGTATAAACCCTATTCACCCCCCCTCTAGGGTTCCTTCCTAGTGGCATTAGGGTTTTTCAATTGGTATCAGAGCTTGGTACTCTTTGATTTAAGGTTTAATCATCTTGAGTTAAAGATCCAAGTTATTTTATTTTGTGCTAATCTAGTCTTGAGATTTATTGTTATCTTTCTTGCATATATTTAGATATTATGAACATGCATTGTGCACCTTGTTTAGGCTATGATCCTAATATTGCTCCTAGAATAGATAATTTCCCCTATGACCGATGGTGTTCTAGATTTAATATTTTTGTTACACCTAGATATTTTGATTTATAAGAATTAATTGATAATGCTTATATTGTACCCACTTCAGAGAAATCCAAGTGAAATAAAAATGATAAAAGAATATTTACAATAAACAATATTTTGTTAGAATTTTTGCTAAACGCTTTTAATTCATTGTTTTCTAACAAGTTTGTTCATTTTGATAGCACTTTCACATTATGGAAACTCATAGAAGCGCATAAAGGGAACTTGGAGGCGATCCGATAAGCTTTGGAGGCTTCCTCTTCAAGTTCCATTGGAGCATCATGCACACAGGCACTAGGCGATAGCCCTAGTGATGTTTGCAACTTCGAATCCATTAGTGATTTATCTAGTGATGAACTTGCTTATGCTTTAGAAAAATTATTGCATGCCTACAACAAATTACATCATATCTTTTTAGATTTAAAAAATAAGCATGTTATTTTAAAATCCTATCATGAGAAGCTGGCTTCCAATTTTGATATCATTGAAAAAGAAAATATGATGCTTAAAGAAAACAATGATATTTTAAGTTTGGAAAATGAAAAATTGAGCTCATCCACTGCTAGCTGATCTCATGAAAAAGATAATATCTTGTTAGAAGTAGAAGCTAGTAAAAATAATTTAAGTTCATTTATAAATAAATATGTTTGCTCTACTTCTAATGTTAATGCTAATGTTCCTTATGATGAGTTGAATGTTGTTAAAAATCACATTTCATCCTTAGATTCAACTCTTAATACATGCATTAACAATTACGATAAGCTTATAAACATGTGTGCTAAGTCCCATGCTAAAACATCTAAACATCCTATTCATCATGCACACATGTATAGCAAAATTTACAAGTGCTATATTTGTGGTCGTAAATACCATTTGGCTAAATTTTTCTATGATGCACGTAAACCTACAAAATCAAATGTTCCTTATGCATCTCATCAAGCTTCATCATCACACATACATGCACATGCTAACAATGCTCATCATAAACATGCACGTGTGTTTAAATGTGATCTATGTGGCCGATTTGGCCATTTGGAAAAGTTTTGCTTTGATTTGAAAAAGATTTCACTTTTACCAAATAATTTTAAAAGACCACAGAAGTTTAAGTGTGATCATTGTGGTAGATTTGCTCATTTGACTAAATTTTATTTTGATTTGAAGAGAGTTTCACATTTGTAAAATGATTTTAAAAGACCATATTTATTTGCAAATGTTCCACGTGTACATCCATATGGTCCACAAAAATAAATGAGCCTCTTTCATTACACTTATTGTAATCGGAAAGGTCATTTGAGCAATTATTGTTATGACTGGACCTGTGCTCAAAATGTGCCCAAAAGAGATCATAACCCTAGGGCTTTAATCTTTAATGATAGGGGTCATATCCCTAGACTCTTCGGTACCAAGAGTAATTGGATACCAAAATATGTTTGATCTTTAAGCATAATTTTTTTTTGTTTTCATGTTCTTAAAGATGATTTTTAGGTTTCAAATCCATAGTTCATGATTCTTGTGTATTTTTTAATCTAATTTTGAACTATGAAAAATTTATTTTAATTTGTATTTTTGAATTCATTGTAAAACACTTCTATGATGATATTTATGTGTTTGTGCTTATGGATCATCAATTATGCTTTATAATGTATTCTATATGTGGTTTGATCAAGTCCTACAAAGAAAATTTACTTTTTTGATCAAACATCATTTTTGGATTTAAATCATGATTTATGATTTCATTTGAGTGATTTGTTTTTATTTGAAAACTTTTTTCATGATACTCATGTTCTTCTTTCCTTTGATTTCATAAATCCATTTTTATATTATTTTTATGTTTGAGTAATGAGTTACTATTTTCATATTAATATTTTTATATGTATCCTCATTGTATTT